CCATCAACCCCGTACTTCCTTACCTTGCCCCTTCCCTTCTTCCGCAGAAGTACAAAATTTCTGTACTTTCTCCCTTACCCCTTGAACGTACGTACACGGTTTTAGCATTCATAGTTGCCTATTTTGCTTTCCCTATTTATTCAGAAGGACTCACTTTACCAGCCATGTTTGCCCCAAATGTCCATACTCCTGATTGAGGTGGGAGTGCTTTTTCCTTCAGTAACTGGGAAAACAAACAAACGAAAAAAGAGCAGCCACACATTTGGCAGTGAGAATGGTGAAGATAGAGAAAATGGCCTAGGATCTCGGTATTCTTGAGGAAATCTCCTGAGTGGCTTCAAGTTAATAGCTCCGTTTCTTATGGTCTGTGTCCTTCCATCCTGATCCTTTGCTGACCCTAAGTTGTGATTCCATTCACATAGGATATTTATTTCCCGTTTCTTTATAAGACTTAAGACCCTTTGGGTCTCACAGATGTCTCCATGGTGCAGTTTTTAAATCCTTTTCTTTTAAAATTATATTGACTATCTTCATTTTAAGCCTTCTGATTTATTTTACTTTCAAGAGATCTTTTCTGATTGCTTCTGTCTATCTTTTGTTTCCATAATGTGTTTATGTCTGCCTGCCTGCCACTGGTTCTCTTGAAAGGATAGTTTCCAATAACAAGATTAATACTTTGAAGTAGAATAGTTTGTTCTTTGAGCAGTTAGAGGTTAAGTGGTCATGGCTGGTACTTTGTAAAAATGCAGCCTTCCCCTCCCCCAAAAGGTCATTTGTTGTCATGCCATTCATCTGTTATCTTCTAAGAGGATGGGCAGTATAGAGAAATCTGTAAACGGAGAATGGATATCTGTAGGTCAGTTTATGTAATTTTATGTTTTAGACAACTAGGCTAATTTTTCTTGCAGTGTTTCTCATCTATCATAAACAAAATGATGAACTTCCTTTTGAGAGGCCATAAGAAATCTTATCCCATCACAGAAGTGTTGATAATCTTTCCAAACCAGGCATGCTTCTTTCTCTGTCCAAACCTGCCCACGTCCTGCCCCCCCCCCCCCCCCCCCCTCTGTCATGTTGTCTTTTACATATCCTCACAGGCCAAGAGATATGGTCCAGTTTTATTTAATATAAATAGTGTAAACACNGCCCTCTGTCATGTTGTCTTTTACATATCCTCACAGGCCAAGAGATATGGTCCAGTTTTATTTAATATAAATAGTGTAAACACTGAGATCGTTTCCATTTGACAAACATAAAATTATAACATTAAATGTACATTTTCAAACTTCACATACCTTCCATCTCCCAGTTGAGAATCACTGCTTTGTTGAAAGGTATGGGGAGATTGAGATTGAAAAGTACAGAGTAGAATTAAAACTAAGTCCTTTATGATTGGACAGACAAGTTGTTTTTGAAATGGACATGGGTACCAGGAGGCACATAAAATAAAAACAGGATAGTTGGGACTCTAGATTTCTAAGAAAACACAGCGGAGCTATATTACAGGTGGTAAAGCTGCAAAAAAAAAAAAATCAGTATTTACTTATTTCAAGGGGAAGGAGTAATTTCTCATTAAAAAAGAAGATGAGCTGAAGGGCTGTTATATAAAGAATCTCTCTGGCTTGTTATCTGAAAGTTTTAGATGGATAGCTTTGAATTTTAACCTTAACTGACTAGTTAGTTCTACTTCCCTCGTATCCCACACCCGCTGCCCCCCCCCCACCCCCATAAGTTTTTTGTCATTAGTCTACTTGTTAGTTTGAATTATGGAAAATGTTTAAGTACAACCATCAAACTGTCTTTTGAGCATATGCATATGTTTCTCTTTGGGTCAATGGAAGGTGAAGGCTGGCTTTTCATTCTCAATATGATGAAAGTCTGCTATGAGTTCTTTTATCTAGGGAGTTGCTTTACTTAAGGCTATCTTAAGGGTTTCTTATATTTGACTGCTTAACATTTTTTAATTTTTGTTACCAGGATTTGAATTACGGAAAGAGAATTCATGAGGTAGATGAACTTCATAGAATAGCCAGGATGACCCATAAGTAAGGATAGAAGGAGGAAGTAAGAAAGTTGGAGGTACATTTGGAGAAGGTTTATTCTTTTGAGAGTCAAAGACAGATTAAAAGATGTGAGTTAAAAAAAGAAGCTACAGACTAGGATTAAAAACTTCATATACGATGAATTAGGTCAGTAGGAGTGAGTTGATGGAATGGGACTGAGAAGTATTTAGACTTGATGGTGTGCCATTGTCACTGGTGAGGTTTTTTTAATTATTGGGCCTTGACTGAACCAGGAGAAGCAGGAATTTGGCCCCAAAATTGGAAAGGGAGATAAATAAGTACATTGACCTTTAAGAACTTAATGCTTGAGTCACGTGGAAGTAAGGAAATATTTCAGAAGCTGTTAACCTGGTTTTCCCCATTAAAAAATGAGATCTCTCTCTCTGAGACTGGGCTGTTGCGGAGGGAAGAAAGAGCATTTGGGTGAATAAATAGCAAGGAGTCATGGAAAGGACAGAATACTCCATGGAAGAAAGGCAGGTTATAAACTGTTATCAGTGTAAACTTCTAGTTAGTGGGAACTTTCACTATATTTTTTGTGTGACACCTAACTGTTAGATATTTAGTGTAGCTTCTCTGACAGTGAATAGGAGGTAAAAAGATAATAGGTAGCAAAGTAGGGCATAACTAGAAAAAAGATGATGGAAGTGTTGAAAAAATTTATAAAATTATTGAGTAGATTTTCACTGAATTAAGAAATATCTATAACTCTTCTGAGATCACCATTTTGAGTAACTTTGGGGCAGGCATTAGATAGGAGAGGCTGGAATGAGCTTGTGGAATACTTTAGCCAGGAATGGGAAGTGATGCGGACCTTGGTTGAGATGTGAAGGGGTACAGTTTACTGAAGCTAGAAAGATCTTGTTTAACATTGGTGGCGATGCCATGTATGGTTTGTAATTTTGACTGATGTGCCAACTACTGATGAGTCTGTTTCTTATCTATATCTCAGTTTCTGGGATACTTACCCACATTATATTAATTTTACAGGGATAACTGGAATGGGTTGAGGAAGAGGGAAAAAAGCTTGGGGTTTGTGTGGAAAAGTCTTCAGTCTAGTCTGTTCTGTGTCACTGACAAATTTCTTCTCTGGTGTCTTCTAAAAGTAGGAGAAATGGTGTTACCGAAGCTTTCCTGAATTGACAATATTGATACCGTATACAGAAAGCAAATACTACATTTTCATATAGTTACATGGTGACATACTTAAAACTCCTTGTCTTAGTTTTTCCTTTTTCCAACATTTTATGTACTTAAAAGCCCCACATGTGGATTTTGTAAACGTAGTTTCAGTTATTTCTGGGACAGTTTTTCAAGATAGGAAGTTTTCTACTGTCTCATCTTAGAATCAGGGAATGCCAGTTAATTTCTCTAAGAACAGAATGGTTCATTTCAGATACCACAAGCACTTATTTTAACTCATTTAAATTTTTTGAGTAGCTCCTGTGTATGTGATACTCATCTGGCACTTTAGAGATCCACAGATGAATAAGATGTGGTCCCCCCATTCAGGAGCTCTTCTGTCTTCGAGAAAGAGGAGCTGGGCCACCATGCAGGGTTGTGCAGAGTGTGCATTGCACATGTTCATTATCATCACAGATAATATGTTTAGTATGACAATTTTCCAGCAGATGGCAGACAAGCATCTTGAGCAGGCAGCTTTTTATAATTTGCACAAAGGAACCTCTTGGGCCTTCAGAGGAAATGGACAAGAGACTTATCATTTTAACAAAATGTTAAATATTTTAAGTGCTTTAAATAAGGAACAGACAATGTTGTAGGCGTTTAAAGAAGGTGAGAGTTTCATAGGTGGCTCATCAGTAAAGAATCTGCCCATCAATGCAGGAGACGTGGGTTCAATCCCTGGGTAGGGAACCCACTCCAGTATTCTTGCCTGGGAAATCCCATGGACAGAGAAGCCAGGTGGGCTGTAGTCCATGGGGTTGCAAAAGGGTCAGACACGACTTAGCGATTAAACAACAACAAAGAAGTTGAAGGGACTGAGTCATCACAAATTGCTCACCTTATGGAGGTGCAGGACTCGCCTTACTGAGTAGACTTTTGAGGATGTTAAAAGATATTAGCTGGAAGAGATGTTTGTGGGGAGGGTGATAAAGATATTCCAGGCAGAAAATACAGCAAGATAGGCAAAGTCATGCAGATAGGAATGTCATTAAGGGAACTGGATTATCTGTTTGGCCTGAAATCCAGGGTATATATGGGAAGTGATGAACATACAGGAAATGATGAGAGTGAAAGTTGGAAACATAAACTGGAACAAAATTGTAGAATTCTTTGAATCTTTTGCCAGAGAAAGTTTTGATCTTAAATATGAGAAAGCGGGAAGGGGACCTAATAACAGAAGCACAATGTATAGATTCACTGATAGGTGAACTAAAGTTTGTGAATCTTCCTGGGTGGAATTATACTATAAACTTAGCGAGATTATCCAGTAAACTTGGTTAATGGTGTTTATTTTTACCAGTAGTAAGTAGAAGTATCGGAATTATAAGGAAAAGTTACAAAATCCAGTATATCCAGAAGCCTCTATCTGTATTCACTGAAGTATTGCTGATATATTGTTAAGTTCTGTCAACTTAAGAATCTGAAATAGAAAGTGAATGAATGTTACATTTCCTGTTCTGTACCTAAGAATGATAATTGTGAAAAGAAGTGGACAGAGACAGCGGGATGATCTTGACAGACAGAAGCTTCAAAGTGTGTAGGTGTAAGAGCCCTGAAAAGGGGTTGGCTTATTTTTTTTTTTTCTCTTTTGGTTTCAAAGCAGAAATGTGGATGTTCTTTCTGCTGTGTCTCTGTCCTCAGCTTACCTCACATTTCCCTCTTCTTTTACTATTTTGATGCTATTTGATGTTACGGGTAGTTTTCCCTGAGGTCACCTCCTTGGCTTACTTGTCATTTGTCTTTCTACAACAGGAGTTCCATCATCTTCCTCTGAAGACCTAGCCATCTTGCTCCATGAAGGTCAGGACAGTCTGACATGCACTTGTTTCTTGCCTCTTTACCTGAAGAGTAGTCCTCTTCCATTGTGTACATTTTTTTCTTAATAGGGGAGGGGAGGGGAGAGCCAGTACCCCCCCTCCCCTTCCCTCCTTAAACCTTGGGGAAGTAACCCCCATTGCTTTCCCAAGATGGCAGACCCCATCATGGATCTGTTTGATGACCCAAATTTATTTGGCCTGGACTCTCTGACTGATGACAGCTTCAATCAGGTCACACAAGACCCTATTGAAGAAGCCCTTGGACTGCCAAGCTCTCTGGACTCCTTGGATCAGATGAACCAGGATGGTGGAGGTGGCGATGTGGCGAATTCATCAGCAAATGACTTGGTCCCCCCACCAGAGGAAACAGCCCCCACAGAACTTCCCAAAGAATCAACAGCTCCAGCTCCAGAATCTTTAACCTTGCATGATTATACCACTCAGCCCGTCAGCCAAGAGCAGCCAGCCCAACCTGTCTTACAGACACCAACGCCAACACCAGGACTTTTGCAGGTCTCCAAGAGCCAGGAGATCCTGAGCCAAGGGAATCCTTTCATGGGTGTCTCTGCCACAGCTGTCTCCTCCAATAGTGCTGGAGGACAACCACCTCAGTCTGCCCCTAAGATTGTCATCCTTAAGGCCCCACCAAGCTCCTCAGTCACTGGTGCCCATGTGGCACAAATTCAGGCCCAAGGTATCACCAGCACAGCTCAGCCCCTCGTGGCTGGCACAGCCAATGGTGGAAAAGTCACTTTTACCAAAGTGCTAACCGGCACTCCCCTTCGACCTGGTGTTTCCATTGTCTCTGGTAATACAGTGTTGGCCGCCAAGGTCCCTGGGAACCAGGCTACTGTTCAGCGCATTGTCCAGCCCAGCCGACCAGTAAAGCAGCTGGTCCTACAGCCAGTTAAGGGTTCAGCTCCTGCTGGAAACCCTGGGGCCACAGGGCCCCCACTGAAGCCTGCAGTTACACTGACCTCTACACCCACCCAGGTGACTTGAGTGAAAGGGGGAGGTGAATTTTGGTTTAGTAGAGGGCCCAGCAACTGTGTGAGAGCAAGCACATAAAAGCTGTCTCTAGGAAATCTGCTTAAATTCCATCTTTACTTTGTATCAGTTAGTATTGATAGCCACCTTATTTGTTACTTACGAGGTGAAAGCAGTCAGTGTTAATGCATTTTTTGAGCTCTTACTACATATTTACACTGTGCCTAGCTGGTGCTGAACAAGATAGACACAGTCCCTGTCCTTATACAGAGCTCACCATCTGCCAGGAAATACAGACCTTAAGCAAGAACTCACAGTGATGGATGATATAAAGTTATACAAGTACTATAGGATGCAATGGGAACAAAGAATCATTTTTGAAAAATATGTGTATTTATATTTGCAAGACTTACAGAAACTATGTGTACCTTTCCTGTTCTTATTATTAAGATTGTCCTCCTCCAGCTTTGCCCAGTGAAAAGACTTGTTTCTTTTATAAGAAAATAAAGACTCTAACCTCTGAATCAAGGGTCAGAAGAATTTGGAGGAGGGGAAGACAGTGTTCAGATAAGTAGGGCTGGTGAAGAGAAGCTCTGAGAAGGTGGATTTTTAGTTCAATATAAAGACTTTTATTCTAATAGATTTCCAAAAAATGGAATGACTGCCTTAGAAAATAGCAAGCCTTCCAGCAGTTTTTCAAGAATAGATTTGGTACCCACTGGGCAGAGGTTATAGAAAAGATTTATTAGGACAGATAGGAAGATGAACAAAGGGTCTTTTCTGACCCTCAGGTTTTATAATTCTAGGATGAGGAAAATTGGTGTAAATATTAAGGGGTCTACCCTTCTTTAATGTCCTCCCTCTCTTGCAATTTCCTCTCTTCACTCTAGGGTGAATCGAAACGCATCACGCTGGTCCTCCAGCAGCCACAGTCTGGAGGTCCCCAAGGACACCGGCATGTCGTGCTAGGGAGTCTACCAGGCAAGATAGTGTTACAGGGCAACCAGCTAGCAGCCCTGACTCAAGCCAAGAATGCCCAGGGGCAGCCTGCCAAAGTAGTAACTATACAGCTTCAGGTGCAGCAACCACAGCAGAAAATCCAGATTGTACCACAGCCTCCATCATCGCAGCCACAACCCCAGCAGCCACCCTCCACCCAGCCAGTGACTCTCTCCTCTGTGCAGCAGGCTCAGATAATGGGACCAGGACAGGCCCCGGGACAGAGACTTTCAGTACCCCTCAAGGTGGTACTTCAGCCACAGGTGAGACCTAACATGCTGAGTTAAGAAGGCAAACACGCTCTTAGTCCCCTGACGTTATCCTCAGCACCACTCACTGTTGGATGTGGGGCCAGTCTAGATTCATATCTCTGAAGTGAGATGCAGGCTTTGCTTTCTTTCACCCATGGGAACCTTATTTTAATTATATCATGAAAAGATTTGAGGGTTATTGTTGGGTTTGGGTTAAGAGATGATTTGTCTAGTATTTGTCTTTAAATTGTTTTATTTACAATCTTTTCCTGATATCCTTGTGAAATGAAAATGACTGGAAATAACCCCTCATCTGAAAGGTAAATAGTCTTGAAGAGGTCAAGTGCTTATCATTCCTCCCCCTACCAACCNTCCAAAACCAAGGGCAAGAGTAAGCTAAAGTGAGTGCCACCCTTCGCTGTTTTGATGGGATATTTGGGGAGAGCACATACATGTTTAAATTCCTGTTTTTAAATTCATGCTGTATATAGCAGCTACAGAGTTCAAGGGGATCGGTCATAGAAAATAATAAGTCCTATCTCTTCTCTGTCCCAAGTGAACATCAAGGCCTGGGGAGACAGCCAGTCTTGAGTTAGGGGTTATGTGTAAAAGCTGTGTGCTTCCTGATTTTGTATCACTGTAGTATGAAAGACTTCTCCCTAGCCCCCTGTGACCCACGCCGGTGAAAGAGAGCTGCTGCAGACATAGCTGCCCTGTTCTTGCATTTCATATATGAACTGGAGATTTCAGCAGCCACTGTCAGCCTTAAGCGGTCTTGACAGAACCATGGCTTGCCATATAACTTGCCACAACTGAGTGTGCTCTCTTCCTTCCATACCTTGTAGCTTCACTCCTTTCTCTCTAGCTTCTACTCCCTGAGATGCTTCAGGCTTTGTGGTGTAATTATAATAATGCTTTATATTTGTACAGGGTTTTTTAGCTTAAAAAAAGCAAGTTTCATATCTGTTATTTAACTTGATCTTCAACAGCTATCACATTAGGTTTTATCATCAGTGTTTGCTAGTTAGAAAACTAATGCCGAGCTAGCGACAGAACTGGAACTCAGACGAGGCCTTGTAATTGTTAGTCAGGAATTGGTTCTGCTGTGTTATGCTACCTTCATTCAGGTATTTGTGAATACAGTGGTAGCAAAAATTTGTCAAATCCGATGTAAAAGCCAGCTGGTAGTTTAGAAACCCCAATATCTTTTTTTTTTTTCAAACACCCTACTCACCAGTTATGTGTCCCCAGACTGAATATCTCTAGAGCATTGGAGAAGGCATTGGCAGCCCACTCCAGTGTTCTTGCCTGGGGAATCCCAGGGACGGCGGTGGGCTGCCGTCTATGGGGTTGCACAGAGTTGGACACGATTGACGCAACTTAGCAGCAGCAGCAGCATGCCTGGAGGCTTCATATGTAATAGGTTAGATTAATTGTATTTTCTACTCCTAAATTTTCCTTGCCTTCACTGTAACTGAATTTGGTTTTTCCTTTTTAGCACCATCACTCCTGTGGTGGGTAAGAAGAGAAAACGTAATACCTCATCTGATAATTCAGATGTAGAAGTCATGCCTGCACAATCACCCCGGGAAGATGAAGAAAGCAGTATTCAGGTAAAAGAATCCCTAAAAAAACTTCATGAAAAGATCCTGTTTACTTCTGACAGGCAGACCAGGAATAGATAATGAGAGACCATAAGCCTATGCATATTTCAACAGGTTTTCTAAACCGGAGGTAGGCCTAAAAAGTAAAAGAGGCAAAACCTGGTCATGGCCATGTCTTAAATTTTATTTATTTATTTTTTTAGGCAAAACTTGTATTACTCTAAAAATGCATATTACTCTACAATAGTCATTTTCTCAAATTCCAGTGTTTCAGAGACTAAACAGACATGCAGTTATTCTGCAGTTGTTGTTTTGAGTATGATAGTACTTTGGTCTTTCTTAGAACAGTCCAGGGGGACACTGTCTGTCCCCTTTCTGATGTCTGTGTCAGAAGCTTTCTCTGTCTCTTGTATACTTTGATAAAACTTTATTACACAAAAGCTCTGAGCGATCAAGCCTCGTCTCTGGCCCTGGATTGAATTATCCTCCAGAGACCAAGAATCCCAGGGTGTTTCGTTGTTCAGCAACAACCTTTCACACTGGTCAATATATATCCCTTATGTTATTACAAGATTTATTTACCATGTCTTTAAATTAGATGTGATAGCAGGCAGCTAAGGCCCTGAAACTTTGGTCTCCATTATTATTATTATTGGTTTTTGTTTGTTTGTTTGTTTTTACCATTCTAGGTTTTTGGTTTTTTTTCCCAAATGACTTGGTGCTTTTTTTAGGGGAAGGCTGCACTATCACCACTTTCTTCTATGTTAATTGCTCTTTAATCTTCTCTGTGTTACGTTTTTGGCAATCAACATTCTCTTAGTTAAAAAAAAAAGTCTAATTTCATTAGATTCTCAAAAAAAGAAAAAAAAGAACAGTCCAGCTGTCCCTTGTGCATTACTTGTTCTACACTTTAGAGTTTTGACTTTTTGAACTGGGGTGCTTAAGGCACAGTGTTTTTGCTACCTTTTAAAGATGAGAAACATTGGGAAGGGAATAAAAAAAGCTGGATCAAAAGATCTTTAGTCCTCTGTCTCTGTTGCCTTACGGTACCATCTTTGACTCTAGTTTCCAACCATGGAAAGAAGAAGCTATTAATGATTCAGGATACCCATAGTACTTCTGAGTACCTCTAATGGGACTGGCTGGTTTATTTAGCTATATCTAAATTCCTTATCTGAAAGTGGAGGTTTGGACTAAACAAACCTCAGGTGCCTCCCTAGCCATCAGTACTTTATAAGTGTCTCCCCTCTCCCTTAATATATATTCATTGCACTGACAGACTGAATCTTGGGTTCTTGTGGGGGAATGCTAACATGTGAGGACAGCCAGGACATTTTTGAAAAGGAGAGTGAAACAAAAGCTAGATTTAACAGACATTAAAGTATATTATGAAATTATAATTGCCAAGAGTTTAAAGAAGAAATAGCAGAGTGAAAAATAAGAGTCTTGAAACAGATCCAAATAGTTTTGAGATGTTACTATGTTGAGTTAAAAGGCCATTTAAAATCAGTGGAGAGAATTGCGTGGTGGTCCAGTGGTTAGAACTCTGTACTTTCATTGCTGAGGGCCCAGGGCTCAATCCCTGGTCAGGGAACTAGGATACTGCAAGCCACATGGTGCAGCCAAAAAAAAAAGAAAGATAATAAAATCAATAAAAATCAATGGAAAGAAAGATTATTTAACACATTATGTTAGGATGATTACTCATTTATGAAGAAATAAAACTGGATTTCTTGCATTACTCTTTAAGAAAAACAAATTCTAGTTTAATCAAAGGTCAAAATGTAAAAACTGAAATCATGGACCTTTATAAAACATGAATGAGTTTTTTTAAATAATTAAAAAATCAGGTAGGTCTTTCTAAGGAGGGTATTAAAATTTCCAAGTCATAAAGGGAAAGACTGATATATTTACTATATAAAAACTATGCATATGTAGCAACAACAAAAATGCTCTAAATAGCATAGTGTTTAAGACCAAGACCATTTCTTGGGTTCTCATGTTAACCGTATTATTTACTAATATTGTCACTTCAGGCAAGTTTACTTAACTTTGTGGTGTCTCAATTTCTTCATCTCTAAAATACAGATAGTAGTATCTGCTAAGTAGGGTTGTTAGGATTAAATGTAAATGTTTACAAAGCACATAGAACAATGTTTAGGTAAAAGAGCACAGTAAGAGTTATATATGTTTGTTAAATAAACAGTTAAATAAAGTGTTATATAATCAAAACACAAAGTGAGTATGGCAGAAACTATCACAGTATTGTAAAGTAATTATCCTCCAATTAAACATAAAATTAAAACACAAACTGAAGGCGAATCTTTGTAATACAAGAAATACAAGAATTAATAAAATTTAAAAAGTGGTATATTAATTTGCTAAGGTTATCATAACAAAATACCACAGACTAGATAGTTTAAACAACAGAAATTTATTTTCTTACAGTTCCGAAGGCTTGAAGTCCAGGATCAGGAGGTCTGGTTACCTCTGAGACCTCTCTCCTTGGCTTGCAGAGGGCCACCTCCTCACAGTGCCCGCACATGGTCTTTCCTCAGGGCGCATATCCCTGTTGTCTCTGCATATGGCCAGATTCCCTCCTCTTTTAAGGGCAATAGTGCCCACCCTAACTTAATCACCTCTTTAAGGCCCTGTCTCCAGACAGTCACATTCTGAGGTACTCGAGGGTTAGGCTTTTAACATAAGAATTTGAGGAAACACAATTAATTGACCTAATTGTGTTTCTTCAAATACCAGTCTTAGCAGTGGAGACCTCACAGTCCCCCAGTTCTCCTCCCCAGATGTAACTTCTGTTATTACTTTTGTGTATCCTTCCAGAAGTATTCTTTACTTTCACGAGCATTCTGATTCCACTTCCACTCAATGTAAGTATTCCATCCCTATTCTCCTGTACTGTGCTTTTTTCTCTAACAGTGTATCTTAAATATAGTTCTATATTAGAAAAGATAGATCCAGCCCATTCTTCCTCACACTCTTTTTTATTATGAAAAATTTGAAATATACACCAAAGTAGAGAAATTATTTACTGAGGCTCCCACGTTCCATCATCCCAGAAGGTTCCCTTGTACCCTCTTTTCAGTCATTTCACCATCCTCTCCCCCCGTCTCCCCATAGGCAACAATTGTGCTCATTTCTGTTAGCCATAAACTTAGTCTGTTCTTAAACTTCATGTAAATGGAGTCACATAGTATATACTCTTGGATCTCACCTTTTTCAGCATAGTGGTGTTCAGAATTATTCATGTTGATGTATCAGAAGTTCATTCCTTCTTTTTTTTCTTGAGAAGTGTTTACTTTAGGAATATACCAGTGTTTATTCATTCTATTAGACATTTGGTTTGTTCCAGTTTGGAGCTGTTTTGAGTAAGGCTGCAGTGAACAGTCTTAGTACATATGCTTTGTGGACATAGGTTTTCATTTCTTGTAGCTAAATAGCCAGGAGTTGATAGACTATGGGGTAGTTAAACATTTGACCTTTTAACCTTATAAGAATCTGCTGCCTTCTGAAGTGATTGTCATTTTACACCTCAACCAGCAGTGAGAGTTCCAGCGCACATCTTCACTGTTCATTCTTGTCAGTCTATCCCATTCTTTTTATATAGTGCTATAGTATTCCATATTTTGACTATAGCATAATTTGTTCAATCCAACCCCTGTCAGTGGGCATTTAGGTTTTCTCTAGTCTTTTACTACCACTGCTGGCAGAGATTTGTTGTTCTTTGTTGTTGCTATTTAGTTGCTAAGTTGTGTTTGACTGTTTTGCAGCCCCATGGACTGCCAGGCTCCTCTGTCCATGAGATTTCCCAGGCAAGAATACTAGACTGGTTTGCCATTTCCTTCTCCAGGGAGCCTTCCTAACTCAGGGATTGAACCCACGTCTCCTGCATTGGCAGGCAGGTTCTTTAACCACTGAGCCACCAGAGAAGCCCACAGGGATTTGTATACATGTACAAATTTATCTGTAGGATAATATCTTTGAAGTGGAATTGTTTGGTCAATGGATATTGTCAAATTTTGTTCTATAGAAATTTTCTTCATGCCAGTGTGTACTCTCACCAGCAGTGTATGAGTTCTTATTTCAAATATTTGATCAAACTCTCAGATTTTTGCCTCTCGGTTAGATGCAAAAAAAAAGTTATCTCAGTTTTCAGTTGTAACAATTTTATTGTGAGTGTGAGCATCATTTTACGTTGAAAGCCATTTGTGTTTTTTTCCTACAAAAGTTGTCTATTCATGTTATTTGCTCATATTTCTATTGTATTGATTTTTTTTCTTAGTTGTAAGATCAAATTGATCAGTCAGTTTATCAGAAACACCTTTCCTACTCCATGATTATTTAAAGAAAAAATTTCTTCCACATCTTTTAGAAATTTTCTTTTTTTTTTAATTTTGTCTTTTTTTAAACTTTGAAATCATTCAATCTTTTTATAAATTTGTTTTTCTTATATCCTCTAGATATAAGAAAAACAAATTTGTTTTGTTTGGCTAGTGGTTTGTTTTCAATCCCATTTATAGAATAATCCACTTTTTCCTCACTGATGAAAAGTACTATTTTTATCATGCTCTAAATCTACCTAAGTATTTTAATCTGTATTTGGACATTATTTCATTGACCTGTTTATCACCTCTTGGAGAGGTACCAAGCTGTGTTAATCAGTATAGCGTTATATTGGCTTTAAAGTCTGATAAAGCCAAGTATACCGTTTCATATTTTTATGAAATATTTCCATTTTTCCATTTCATATTTCCATTTGAAATAGGAACTCATACACTACTGTTGAAGACTACACACTGGCATGAAGAAAATTTCTGTAGAACAAAATTTGACAATATCCATTGACCCAACAATTCCATATTTTATTTATTCTTAGATTCTTAGTTCTCTGTTGAATTTTAGAATCAACTTATCTAATTTAAAACTTTTGTTAAATTTGTTTTTCAAATTTATGTGATTGAAGAGGTTATATATATATATTTCATTGTTTATTCAACTCTTTTAATGTCCTGTAGTGTTTTAAAGTTTTCTTCACATAGATTTTTTGGATTTCTTACTAAATTTAATACTTAAGATGATGTTTTTTCATAAAATGACTTTCTTTTATCGTATTTTCTGGCTTAGTCTCTGTAAGAATGCTGTTGATTTTTAAAAATTAACTTTATGCCCAGCAAATTTATCAAATCAATTTTAGTACAAGTGATTGTACTAAATTGTACTACTAACTACTAAAATTGAATTTACAAATCAATTTTAGTAGTTATGCTTCTAATGACTCATTTGATTTGGGTTATTCCAAGGGTTATAATCATTACTGAAAAATAATTTTTTCTCTCCATCCTTCCTAATTTTTATCATGAACTGCACATGTTACTGAGATTATTTAATTTTGCTCAACCACTTGAAAGAATGAGGTAGATCTGAAATTCATAGATATGGAAAACATCTCCAAGAAAAATGTTAACAAAAAGTAAGCAGCAGAACAGTAAATGCTGTATGATCCTATTTATTAAACAAACAAAACTTTAGAACTAAAATAGGCAAACAATTAGAAACAATGTTTTTGTACCAGTGGACTCCAGGGCTGCTCCTGGTGTGAAGTTCATTGCACCCTGCAGGTAGAGAGTTTAGAGAGTTCTATTTCAGTTTTTCAGAGCCTCTTGCCAATAGTACCCAGGTTACTTTCAGATGGATTCTGATACTATAATGAAAGAATTCAAGAAATTAATATATACTCAGTACACAGAATAAGTTACATGGTTTAACATCACACAATTTGATAAATAAGCTTTTTATCATCTTTTGGTTTGATTTTTCCTAGGGAGTTTGGAGTCAAATCTAAGTTAAGTACATGACTATAGGCAAATAGTTTTAAAGGTTTTTTCTTTGGGAGACCTAAGCGGTTCTTTTGACTGTTTTTGCCCCTGTAGAAAAGACGCTCAAACCGCCAAGTTAAGCGGAAAAAATATACAGAGGATCTGGATATAAAGATCACAGACGATGAAGAAGAAGAAGAAGTGGATGTAACTGGTCCAATCAAAACTGAGCCTATCCTTCCTGAGCCAGTGCAGGAACCAGATGGCGAGACATTGCCTTCCATGCAGTTCTTTGTGGTAAGCTGAGAACTTAAGCAATTTGAGATGTGTGTCTTGCTGCTCACAATCTCTTTGTTTGACTGACTGCATCTTTTCCTGCAGGAGAATCCCAGTGAAGAAGATGCTGCCATTGTAGACAAAGTGCTTTCTATGCGTATTGTGAAGAAGGAGGTGAGGCCTATTTTCAATGTTAGCCCATAATGCTACAGTTACAGGCTTTATGTAATGAGCACCTTTGGATGTCAGTCTATATCGCTACAATGTAGTTACAGGAGATAGTAGAGGAAAGTTAGGTGGCAAGTAAGAACTGTCTTATTGCCCCTTCTTTCACTTATCTGTTTAAATCCAGAAAGGGCTTATTTTCTCCAGCTATCAATCTTCTAGCATTGAAATACCAGATTAAGTTCTTTAATCCTTTACTCAGTGATATATCCTGGATGATACATATTTTATTCTTGGTATGAAAGTCTATCACATGTGTTAAAAATTAAGGATTCTCTTTGACAAATGAGTTATTAATAACTAATTTCTTTCTTCCCAGCTTCCTTCTGGACAGTATACTGAAGCAGAAGAATTCTTTGTCAAGTACAAGAACTAGTACGTGATCTATGAAAAAAAGCTTTTCACCCCAAATTCCACAGGGTTGTAATAAGTTCTACCGTATAGTCTATCCAGGTTGGGAATGTGTTCCCCCCCCACTTTTTTTTTAAAAGTTTTCATCACCCAGATTGTTTTAAGTGAGGAAAATGTCTGTTCAGAGATAAGCTGAGAAATTGACTGATTAATATTTGCCTACAGAAAAGTGAGGTAAGGGTGCTTCCTGATAAAATCCCTTGTAATCCTGACATTCAGTTCAGTTCAGTCGCTCAGTCGTGTCCGTCTCTTTGCAATCCCATGAATCGCAGCACGCCAGGCCTCCCTGTCCATCACAAACTCCTGGAATTTACTCAAACTCATGTCCATCGAGTCAATGATGCCATCCAACCATCTCATCCTCTGTTGGCCTCTTCTTCTCCTGCCCCCAGGCCCTCCCAGCATCAGGGTCTTTTCTAATGAGTCAACTCTTTGCATGGCCAATGTACTGGAGTTTCAGCTTCAGCATCAGTCCTTCCAGTGAACACCCAGGACTGATCTCCTTTAGGATGGACTGGTTGGATCTCCTTGCAGTCCAAGGGACTCTCAAGAGTCTTCTCCAACACCACAGTTCAAAAGCA